AGTTAAATGGAGCATGGCCTAAGGAATGATAATGGCCTAAGTTAACTTACTCTATTTGTATTGTTTGGATTTGGGGTTTGGTGGATGGTGATTCTGGTTAACATCATTCTTTTTTTTTTTTCCTCCTTTTTCAAGGTAAAGATAGATTATATTTGAAAATGATTGATTAATTATACATTTTTCTAAAAGCTTTTATGACTAAATTGACTTTAACTACGCAATTTCATATCGAGTAAAAATAATTGACGGTTGGTTTATTTCACATTCTTTTTTTTTTCTCTTACATAGATTTTTTTTTTTTTTTAAAAAAAAAAAAAAAAAACAGTCTCCTACGTTTTATTAGAGATGTTAGAGTTTAGATTTTCCACTCTTTATTAATTCTTCAAATTTTCTATAATGAATAAAAAATGAATACTAACATCTTTAAATTTTTATTATAGCTATAAAGTTAGTTAGAATATTTAATATTATATCCTTCATTTTAGCTCAATTAATCTTACGAGACGGATCAAGATTTATTATGTTTTATTGTTTAAAAAATTTATATTACACACTTACAAGTAAATTTTTTATTATTAAAAACGTGTATTGCACGGGACTAATCTAGTAACTTAATGAAAGTGCGCCTTAGACAAGAATTTTAGAAGGTCATCAATTGTAATAATAAAAAATTGTCACAATCTTATGTGGTAGATATTTATTTATTGCTTGTTGTCTGATAAAATGAGTATACTATCAAATTAGTTGTTGTTTTTTTTTTTAATAAGATTATATTTATTATGAAATGAAAATATTGATGGACATGTTTGACCTTTAGCTTTAAGACGGAGAGCATCAAGAAGATAATAATCTACAAAATATCTATACTTATATATTAAAATTGAAAATTTACTTGCATGATGCCACATTTATATAAAGTTTGATAGATTGAAAATATATTCTATCTAGATTGAATATAGTGATCATAAAGAGCCAAACCCAATTATGTGAATCATGCAAAAAGCTAATTAAAGATGTAAAAACCTGGTCCGATCCAACTATTAATTCGATAGTGATTGATTCATAATTCGACTTGTATGCACTCTATGATTTAGCATGACTCAAACTCAAAAATAGACCAACCAAATCAGACCCAGTAAATTATATTTCCTCCGTTTCTTTATACTTGCATCACTTTCCTTTTAGTTAATATAATTTTTCTATTTCTCTCCTATCACATAGGTCCATCTTTTTTATTCTCTCTATAATCTCTCTCATTTGCAAAAATTGTGTAGGAGTCCGCAATTTACAAAGTGATGTAACTAAAAACACGAAGGAAATAAAATAATTATCGGCATATTTATAATTATGATACTCCCTCCGTTCCACAATGATGTTTCTGTTTAGAATCTTTGACTTTTAAAAAATAAGAGAGAATTTTTAAAATTTTCTTTCAATCTATAAGAACAAATATAGTCATATGGGATCTAGTTTGATTCGTCTTGGTGAGTACATTATTAATATCTAACTTTTATAATTTTTGCTAGTGTGAAATTAAAGATATTTACGGTCAAAGACGGGTAAAAACTTACATCAATTTACAAAAATAGGAACATCATTCTGAAACGGAGGGAGTATACTGTGAATACTTTAATAATGAGGTTGAGATCCACACCAAATTAAAGTATAACGTAGATAATATTTGATATCAATCTCCAAGATATTTATCTTGATACAAGGGTATTTGCGTATTTCTTTTTTGGATATGGATCTGTAATTCTCAGTTGTCAGTTGTCTCTTTAATGGAGCTTTAATCAAATAATTATGAACGACAAATAATTGCCATTTTAAGTATGAATGCGAATAAATTCTTTTCTAATTATAGTTTTAGAGGAGAGAATAATGCCACATGGACTACATCTAATATTATATGCTTCGTGGGCTTCGCCGCACGTTTCTAAATAAGTTATATGCAACTAACTTAATTGTATTATTAGGTTGGGTTAGCAGATTAATTAATATATTATTAGCAACACTTGGTTCAACGGATCTTTAAATTTAAGCGTAAAGTTTCACTATTAGAAAAATTAAATGAGAACATTATTGAGTGTAAACTATTTTATTTATCACAATGTCAACTATCAATTATCATCTTTTCATTATTTGTTGTCATAACATATAATAGGTGTTAGTACCAGTAGCTAGAATAAAGGAACAAGAGAATGTAGCAACTTACTTTGTTATATGCAATTAGGTTTGGTTGTTGAGTTACCATATTATAATCCGTTCAAAAGATCCATAAATGGGTAAATTTTTTATAGATAGATGATGAGAATGTGAGTTAGAAAGCCAAGTCATACCAAATATCGCCTTTTGCTTTAAGAAAATCTTGATATAGTTTTCAAGAGAGATTATATACCATGGAGTCACGGAGTACATAATCATATGATACATGTATATATATTACTATTTTAGTTCTTTCATTTCTCTAATAATGTTGTAGATGAGCTAGAACGAGAGTTCCAATTTAATTTCGAATACTGATCTTAAGGCTTAATTAGCTGAATACTCCATATTGCAGTAATTTACATCATTCATTCGGGTTTTGGAAAAATTGATCTAGTTACAAACACGGTTTGTCGATTTTGTACTTGTACATTCATTTGGAGAGCGCTATGAAGCCATATATATTATAACTTTTTTTCCTGTAGTATTACATGAGTATTATTAAAGCAAAGTTTTCACTTTTTGGAGATTTAAAATAGAATATTATTCATCGTGTGTAATCATATTTGATAGATTTATCTCAATGACTCAGTGTCAATTTACAATAATCAAATTTTTATAATTTTGGTCACAACATATTGATTTTATTATGAGTATAATTTATGATTTTTTTTTTAATTACCTATAAAAGAATATACTATAAAGAGAATATTTTACATATGGTAAGTTATTATTGTACTTAGAATATAGAAAGTTATTATTGTAGGTAAAACATAGAAAGTATTTCAGTTTTTTTTTTTCCGAAGCAACTTTTGTGTGCGGCTGGCCACACCGTGTAGCCAGCTGATACACCAAGTAACTCCTAACCAACGAGTAACCCCTAACCAACCGAGTAACCCCTGACCGATCAAGTAACCCCTGACTGAGTAATCCCTGACCGACTTAGTAACCTTTGACCGACCGATTAACCTATGACCGAGTAACCCCTGATCGCGAGTGAGTAACCCCTATAACATTAACAAAATAACCCCCATAATGATTGGCCATACGGTGTGACCGGCCACATATAAAAGTTTTTGCATTTTTCGAGAAAAAAAGGTGAACCTAGGCTAAGGTACTTTTGTTTCAATACTATTCCGATCCGAGAATTCCATATTAACATTAGACAATTTTACGAGAACAATAATGATACAAATATTACAAAAATTAACCTAGTGATTAACTGATTATAATTAAAAGTCTAATTATTCTATAACGTGCATTTCGTTGATGAAGATATTATAATTAATAGGATAGATTAAAAAAAAAAAAAAAGAGTATTAGTATAATTAATAGTATATTATATTAATATAATGCTAATGATGTTTAAATATTACTACAAAGTATTACTATTACGTAAAATATCTAAACTTGAATTGTATAGTGGAACTAACTCCTATGCTTCTAACCATTTTATGAGGTGGTACAAAAAACTTCATAGCAAACTTCGTAAGTGTCCGTTATTATCCTTGTAACCTTTTATAAACTTAAAAAAAATAAATTATTAAAGTATATATTTCTCACAAATTATCTAATGAATCAATTAGGCTCGTGCTAAAACTCCAAAACCGTAAACAATTTATAATGACGTTGAGATCCACACCCAAATTATAAAATTAGATATTCAGAATCATATCTCGAAACAATTTAGAATGTAATAGTGTTTGACGAGAGAATAACTCCACATGAACTACATCGTTCACATGTATTCCTCGCTGTTCAAGGTTAATTAGAGCACGTTTCAAAGAATAATTTAATCATATGCAACTATCTTCTATGCATGCTGAATTGTTGAGTTAGTGGATTAATGTATCTCTAACAGTCTATGTCAATTCAACGATACAGATAAATCCATAAATTTAAGCTTAAAGTTTCACTGTTATAACCATATTGAAAAGACATATAAAAAAATATAACTCAGAACAACTCTACAAGTATTACGAAAAGGCTAAAATTAACGAACGTTTAGGAGACGTTAGGTAAAATGATGACTAATAATAAAAATATCAGATATAAATAAATATTTATTATACCGTTTGGTTAGTGATTTCAACATTCATTTCAAAATGTATCAATTTACAAATATTTTTAATTATAATAATGTAATGCCCTAGGACATTCGGTTCAATTCACCAATTTGCTCAAAGTTTTTCAAATGGGAAAACCTAATGAATAGGCTCTGTTCACTTCACCTTAAAAAATAATATTCAGTAAAAATAATTTCAATTCATAAAAATAATTTTAGTTCAACAAAAATAGTTTCAGTTAAGTAAAAATAAGTTCACTTCAGTAAAAATCAGTAACTTTAAAGAAGAAATATAACAGAAAATCAACAAAAATAATTTCAATTTAGTAAAGTTAATTTCAATTCAATAAAAATAACTTAAGTTTAGCAAAAATAATTTTAGTTCGGTAAAAATAATACTAGTTCAGCAAAAATAAGATGAAGTGAACAAGGCCTAAGAAAAAAAGGGAAAAAAAAAAAAAGACTTTGTGATACACCTGTAATTAGGTTTACCCGAGAATAAGATAGAGGTTTTAGCTTAGCCCGGGTAGATGTAATAATGTGTAATTCCATGAATGATTTTGAATTATAAAATCAGCCTTTGAACTTGATAACGTGCAATTGTATACAAATATATTTTATGTTTATGCGTCGGAATGCACATTAAATATTACAAGTTTGAGAAAAATAAGGATCCATTGCACCATGCATGCATGTTAGTCTTAAGTCTTGACTTGCCTATAAATATTGATGAATTGTAAGCCTTCTCCACTTCAGTACAACAACAAACTTTCCTTCATATCACAAACTTAATTAGAAGGCAATACTCATTAAGGCCAGGTACTCTACTCTTCGATCTTTCTTCTTCTCTCCCTCTTTACGAGATCATAATATTCACTACTAATTCGTTCTCTTCTTTTTTGACAATATTCATTAATGGCCACTAATACATACTCTTTTCATAATGTTTCATAATATTTGATCATTGATATCAATATTAGCTAATAAGCAAAAAAATGAATTGTATATAATTGCAGAACTATATATCTCTTATAGTCTTATGCTTCTATCCTGCTAACCATCTTATATTAATGAACATGCACACTAACGTAACATATATATGTTGTCTTCGCATTTTAAGGACACAGTAAGCACAAGGAATTATGGCGGATTTGATCACAGCCGAAGAAGTGCCCTTGGTGAATCCGGAGGCTGATTACGAGAGTTTGAAAGCGGAGTTGGATGCCAAGGTGAACGCCGAGGGTAATGTTGAGTTAAGTGCTGATCAAGTGTTACTGAGCACTCAATTCTTAAATCTTTGCAAGGACAAAATTCAAAGAATTGATAGGCGTTTTTGGTCTGGCTCTGTGGTCACTGATCGTCCAACTCTTAGTAGCGGCTATTACACCATTCTTAAACAAAAAGGCACCGAGCCTGAAGGCGTCAAATGGGGCCAAGTCTGGGCTAATGGTGCCGCTGATGACACCACTGCTCGTAAGTGGATTGTGGCTTTTGATACCGCTGCTGGCAAGGTATATATATATACACTCCTCGCGCAACTTCATTTTGTGGTTGTGTTGGGTAGTTAGGTTTCAGTCCCTTCCTAAGAAAGTAACTTTTTAATATATATAAAATCTTAGTGATGTTTATTGTAGTATAGTGTTCTATATTAACCATTTTTTGCAAATTAAAATTTCAGGCTTATGCTGAAGCGGGACCAATGGGTCCAGTTGATTGGAACGTAGTTGAAGTGAAACTGGGTATGTCCGGAAGCAAAACTGAGCACACTGACCCCATCCTTGGAGGCAGCGTACTTGCTACGATCGATGGTCTCAAGGCATATGCACATTTCCGTTGAATAATAGGGCTTGCTGAGCTACATACTGAAATCTACTATGGAGTATGTGTTGCGCTATGAATAACGTTATGCTGTATTGCTTTATTTGCTGCCAATCATAAACTACTTTCCTCGTTACTTTTTTTTTACTTTCAAGTACTCTTGTGTAACAATTAATAATGATGCTTGGCCACTCAGGCCAGCAGACAATCTTTAACTATCTTTAATTATATGGAATAAAGTATTTTATTTACTTGTTATATATGCTCATATGAATTTTATGTCATTCCAAAATCCACTAGCACTCTCATATAAAAAATGCTACTCGTACTCCGTAGTACTATAAGTATAACTACTATTCAAGACCCAAAAACCCACGATATTACCATAAATTCGAACATAAGAGACTTACAGAGTACATCAATTCATTCCACACAAGTGCAATACAAACAAGCATTTACGCAAACTAAATCAAAACAGCTAGCAAGAAATAAAATCAAAAGATTAAACTAAGCTAGTCATATAAACCCAGCTCCCGGCCCTCGGGAGACCACACAAGTCATTGTGCCCTAACTCACTATTTTGGGCCAAATATAGCAGATTTTTTGGGTCATTTTTTGGTTAAGCTAAAATCTCTTAACTATTACTAAAACAAAACGTTGCCATCATTGTCCAAATGTCACTCAAATAATAAATTTTTTTCCTCCTAAATGCAATGATCATGTCATCTGTTTTTTTTTTTTTTTTTTTTTTTTTTGAGATACCAATATTAATCCTATTAGTAGAATAATATATTTAGGTTTATTAGTAAAATCTTATTAGAGATATGAGATATCGAAAAATATATTTGTGGTATATTTTTCGTATTAATCTTATTAGTAGAATAATATATTTAGGTTTATTTATGTTAAGATAATATTTAGTGAATATATCTTTACACTGGTAGAAAAAAGGAAATCGGCACCGCACTTTTGGCACCGGTTTTTGAAAACCGGTGGGAAAGAAATGGGCGGGATTGGGAATACAGACTTTTGGCACCGGTTCCTATTAAACCGGCAGGGATTTATACTTTTCGCACCGGTTCAAACCGGTGCCAGTTAAAAAGAGGGAAAAAAAATAAAAATAAAAAAGTAATGTTTTATGAAAAAAAATCGGGCTCTTCTAATTATAAACCCTTAACTCAGTTCTCCTTCTCTCTCATCCGCCTCTTTTTTGCTCTCCTTCTCTCTCATCTAGTCATCTCTGTTCTTCGTTCTTCTCCCTCATCTCTTCTCTGATCTCTTTCATCTCTTCTTTGATCTGTAGTTCTTCTCTTCGTTCGCCGCCGCCGTCAACCACAACAACCATCGCCGCTGCTGTCAACCATAACAAATTTTCGATTAAAAAATCAGAATTTGAGGTTAGGGTTTCTAGATCCTTTAGCTTTTTCGTTTCGATTTCTGGGTTTTTTCTAGGTTTTTGTGGGTTTTTCTGGGTTTTTTCTGGATTTTTTGTGCGTTTCGGTTTTTATGTTTTGGGTCTTTTCGGTTTCTCGGTTTTTTCTGCGTTTCTTGGTTTCTCGGTTTTAGCTTTGCGTTTCGGTGTTTATGTTCTGGGTTTTTTGTTCTGGGTTTCTGAGTTGTTTATGTTCTGGGTTTTATGTTCTGGGTTTATGTTCTGGGTTTTTATGTTCTAGGTTTCTCGGTTTTATGTTCTTCTTTCTCTCTCATCTCATCTGTAATCTGTCGTTACAATTTTGCAGGTAGTATTCTTTAAAAAAAATCAACTGCAGCGACTCCACATAGAAGAAATATTCAAAGATTTTGTTGTTCTTTGTTCATTGTTGCATTTTTTCTGGTTTTTTTTTGGAAATTTTGACTTTTACCACCAAAAAATTTGGACAAATTGTTTTTTACCACCTACTATTTTAAAAGTTTTATTTTACCACCAAATAAAAAAAATAAAGTTGTTTTTTACCACCAAATTACAACTCCGGTGACTGAAAAACGCAATGGGTCCCACTGTTTACCCTTTCCATCCAAATTACATGCTACCCACCCCGATTCATTTTTCCTATTGAATAACCCCAGCAACAGAGTTTAATTTCCTTCACTTTTCTCACCTTCCTCTCATTAACTGCTCTAAATTTTGCTCTCTCACCTTAACTTTTAATTTCTGACTTTTCTCTTTTAATTTTTTTACTTTTCTTCAAGCTTTCATATCAATTATTTGCGTAGAGACGAAGACCTGAACCACACAAACCACACAACCCAGCCTTGAGTTCGTCACTTTCAACAAGGGGGGGACTTGAAAGCATGCGACTTTTTCGATTTCACCTTCAACGATTCGAGAATCTGACAGCGAAAGGTACTTTTGTATGTTTGCAAAAAGAGTGAAATGTCCATTTAAGGTGTATGATGTGAGATTTATGAAGTCAAAAACTTTGCATATCAAGTCACTGAGATTGAAGCAACTTTGCAAAGAGAAATCCACACTTACATTTTCTCTCTCTTGAAGGAAAACTTAAAGAAGACTTTACCTCCTGCAAAATCACACTTAACAACTTCAGTAGTTGTACCAATTCAGCTTAATTACAATTTCATAAACCTAATTTCAATGCAAATCATTGATTCACAAAACCCCCAATTTCAAGTTTAACATGAACCCTAATTTTACAAAAACACAATTTGGGTTTTAATTGATAAGTTGTAGCAACAAATTGTGGATTAACTACCTCGTTATCTCAAATTATATGAACATTCGAACAAAATTATTTAATCAATTCAAGTAAATCAGGTAATTAAATGTGCGAAAAAAACGACTTACCTCAACTACTTCAATTCTCACTTTTCAACCCAATTCGTAAAAAATTATGTGGAATATTGATGTTTGTGGCTGAATCCGTGAGCTTTATGTTGTAATTTGAGAGAATTGGGAACAATTGATGTTTTTCAATCGTTGAATGATTAAGCAATGGTTTTATAGGCCGGAAAATCATGACCAAAACGAATAAAAATCAAAAAGTAGTCATTGTAGTTGGACCCATTGCGTTTTTCAGTCACCGGAGTTGTAATTTGGTGGTAAAAAACAACTTTAATTTTTTTATTTGGTGGTAAAATAAAACTTTTAAAATAGTAGGTGGTAAAAAACAATTTGTCAAAATTTTTTGGTGGTAAAAGTCAAAATTTCCTTTTTTTTTATAAATTGTAAAATAACAATTTATTTGATATTTGTGATTAATGTATAACAATTTATTTGATGAATATGTATATATATGTGATTAATGTAAAATAACAATTTATTAATGTAGATTTACAATTTCTAGGTTTTTTTTTTTTTTTTGAGGGAAATGATTCTGGGTTAACTGTCTGATGAATTGGGATTGAAAAAATTGCAATTTTTTTTTTATTTTTTAAAGGAGTAATGGGCACCGGTTAACCGGTGCCTATTGTAGTTAAAATTAAAATAAAAAACGCGCGGCATGGGTAATTAGCACCGGTTAACCGGTGCCAAAGAGGGTATTTTGCACCGGTTAACCGATGCTAAATCTTTAAATAGCCACCGGTTTTGAACCAGTGCCAAATCTTCAGAGATTTTGCATCCCTCAAATCTGGAATGGTTCAAAACCGGTGTGCAAAGGGGAGTTTGAACCGGTGCTAAAGACCTTTTTTCGCGTAGTGTTAGGATATATGGTTATAGTAGTACATCTTTTAGGAAGATTGTTTCCTATCTTATGAGCGTAGGTTTTGTATAAATACTCTACCTGTTTATGAATAATAAACAAGCCATTCAATTCTCTCTTCACCTCCATTCTCTCTTAATTTTACCCTAATTTGTCATGGTATCAAGAGCAGGTTAGATCTTGGGATCGTTCACAAAAATTTCCCCTACCGGTGGGTTGGAAATTAAACCCATCGGTAGGACAAAACTTTCGTCAAAACTATAATTTTTGTAAGCTTCCGCATATTAATGTTTTCTTAAGGATTTTTGATACTGTTTAGTGATGATGAATTTGATGAACGTGAGTGGTTGAATGGTAGCTAATGGTTTTATGGTTTCTTGACTCTTGAGGCAAAGATGAACAAAGGCATCGATCTAAGTTTTACTTATTAAAATAAAATAAAAAATTTGGCTCTCTTTTGTCGTGAGACAAGACATATTGGTTCTCCTTGTACCGTGAGACAGGGTTTATATTGGTTCTCCTTGTGCCTTGAGAGAGGGGTTTTAAATGTTTTGAGTGTGGTTTACTCTGAAAAACCAATATTTGTTTGGAGCTCGGTTTTGCTCAGGAAAAAACCAAAAAAAATATGACAAGTTCGAGAAAAAGAGACGCTCTCGTTGTAATGTTTATTTTGCAGGTTCGAAAAGAATGATGTTCTTGCTTGTTTGATGATTGATGGGTTCGAAAAGCTGAACGTTCTCATCATTGGAAAATAAAATTGAAGGCGACATCAACAGCGAAGTGCATCTCGATCGTCTTCAACAAAGTAGAATTTCCAATCGCAACCTTTGTGTTACTGCCGTTACGATTGCGGGAGGGTGGTAGAGATGTGAGATATCGGAAAATATATATGTGGTATATTTTCCGTATTAATCTTATTAGTAGAATAATATATTTAGGTTTATTTATGTTAAGATAATATTTAGTGAATATATCTTTAGGATATGTGGTTATAGTAGTATATCTTTTACGAAGATTGTTTCCTATCTTATGAGCGTAGGTTTTGTATAAATACTCTACCTGTTTATGAATAATAAACAAGCCATTCAATTCTCTGTTAACCTCCATTCTCTCTTTTACCCTAATTTGTCAAATATTAAACAATTTTGAAATTTGAATATTAGAAGCTTCTACATTACAACTACAACCTATCAATTTATCTTTAAACGTACCCTAACCGATAAAATTGAATGGACAACATTCCAAATAAGCCTTTTATAATTAAAAGGAATTTCAATGTGCCATATTTTTTTCCAATTGATGTTCTGAGAAGGAGTAGCAAGAGGAGGAGGAGTAGAAATAGCATAGGCTGTTTTGATGGTGAAATCTCCATTTTAAGAGTGTCTCCATCTAATTCGATCAGAAGGCAAGGTAATAGTGGAGAGAGGAGTGGCTAGAATTTTTCGTTGGACAGAGGAAGGGAGGAGGTAGGCAACATCTGTGAAATTCCATTTTCCCTGTTGGATTATGTTACTAACGCACCAGTGTGAAAGATGAGGAGGGATTGTTGGAAGAGTTGTAAGATTGCATAGAGGCCCATCTCCAACCCAAGTGTGATACCAGTGGGAGGTAGAAAGCCCGTTGCCAATGGTGATGATCAGGCCTTGTTTGAGAATGTGGCGTCCTTTTAAAATGTCCTTCCAAATGGTAGAAGAGGAAGAAGGTGGGATAGTGTCCATGAAGTTGGATTAAGAGAGATATTTGTTAGCAAGGATTCTAACCCATAGTTTGTCAGGTTGATTAAGCATCTTCCATTCTAGCTTTTCCATGAAAGTTTCATTCCATCTTCTAAGAGATCTAATACCCATCCCACCAAGGTCATAGGCTTACAAACAATGTCCCACCTAGTTCTTTGAATGTAACGTGCCAAGATTTGTCACGCTTCTAATAAATTCCATGCATAAACTAACCTAACATATTTACAATAATCCTTAGGTAAATAAACTTAGCAAAAAGACTTATATTCTCTAGCTAGTTTATCTCATCAATCGTTGTATCTTAAGGATACTTGGCCTTCACGTAGAACAGGATTGAGTTCCTGCTGACCTTCACTCTCTAGCTCCTTGCTGGAACTTCGCAGGCCAAGTTCTTATGGAACTTGCTGTCTTCAATGCAGACCAAGTCAATCTTCTTAACTTGCTGTCAAGCTCCTGTTAGTGAGCTTCTCTTCAAGTTCCCGTTAGGGAACACAGTTAGTTCCACTAAGGAACTCTTCTTCTACTTTATTTAACTTTCCTTGGATTCTCCTTGGTGTCTTCAAGTTAGATTACTCTTCCACTTCCAAAGTCAACTTCATCTGTTCTAATTACAATACTTAGAGAAATCGTATTAGTTGAAGTTTGCTTTTATGCTTCATCATCATCAAAACTCTTAAGCTTCAACACCAGGTAACGTCCACATTTAAATATGATGGAAAAACATACCCGACCCTCTGTGTATTCCATGTTCTAACTCAATCTAACATTTTCTCCTCCCAAAAAACCACCACCGACCGAGGGCAAGGTCATCAAACACATCGCCAAAATTAAAGTCGTATTTTTAATGGTGGAGGTCAAAGGCCTAATTTTTTCAAAACTCTAGGGGTAAAACACCTAGAATTTTCGACAAAAGTCCCCAGGAGATTCGAAAATTCTAGGCGTTTCCCCCCCTAGAATTTTCCAGTTTTTTTGCTTTTTTTGTTTGTATCATAACTTTTGATTCCAAACTCGGATTAAGACAAATAATATATCATTAGAAACCTCTAGAAGTTTACTTTCCAACCCAATTATAATAAAGGTTATATCATTTAAAGATCTTAAGATATAGTCGAAATAGTGCAAGGGTGTTGGTTTTGGACTAAACGTAGTATATTAGCCATATCTTAAGATCTAAAAATATATTGACCTGTTCCAATTGAGTTGGAAAGTAGACTTTCAGATATTTCCAATGATATATTATTTGTCTTAATCCGTGTTCAGGATCAAAAGTTATGATAAAACAAAAAGCGTAAAAAACCTGGAAAATTCTAGGGGAGAAACGCCTAGAATTTTCGAATACCCTAGGGACTTTTGAAAATTCTAGGCGTTTACCTCCCCCCAAGAAAAATGACTTTAACTTAGCTTCCTGATTTTTAAATCTAAGTAACAAAACTTGATTGCTGCATGTGATTGTGATTGTAATTGTAATTAAGAACCAATTGTACTACTATACATACTACGTATGTATACCCGTTCAAAAAAAAATACTACGTATGTATACTATTGTAAATGCATGCAACTTATCATTTATGCTACTATATGACGATGACGAATAAATGAGATTTGCATAATCTTAGTGTTACGATTAAATCTGTGACGGAAGGCATGCAGAAAGAGCGTAGATAATAGAGGCCAGGGAAAAAAATATGGAATACACGCGACTACGCCAGTTGATATTTGTCCATTCATATTTAAATGCGGGCGCTATCTGGTAAAATAAGGGCGTCGTTTAACTTTGCTTTTTCTTTTTCCTTTGGTGGCGAATATTCCAAAATGGGTGGCTAGAGCTTGGGCTGGGAAGGGCTTATTTTGTGGGCTTATTTTTTGAAGAAGAAGAAGAAAGGATGGTTTTGAATAGTAATATATTAAGTTTTAGTGATAATATGCCAAGTAGAGTTTATTAATAAAGTAATTATAATTTAGCAACTTACAATTTGGAAATGCTTTAAATTATATTAAGATTATTAACCAACTTTACATAGAAAGATTTGTAATTTCTTAGATTAAAATGTATTTAAAACTAATTATTATAATTAAAATAAAGTAATTAAGTTTTAAAAATTTGAAGTGTTCCGATTGAAATTTTGTTAGAAAAGTCACAATATAAATTTAGTTATGGAAAAATTATGTGGCTTAAAAGCCTAGACGAGTAATCACTACTAGTCAAAGGCCACAAGCAAAACTATATAATATGATTATTGAGATAAGAACGTTCAAACTTTTTTTTTTTTTTTTTTTTTTTGACAAGCAAGAACGTTCAAATTAAACAAACTACCACGCACAAAAAACAGTCAGGGCAAATAATCAAGTAATTAAGATCACAAAGTATGGATGAAAAGGTACTGCTCAAGGCTGCAAGATTTTGATCTTGAGCTATCCGTAACCGGTGATAGCGAAGGCTCAGTGTCCCTTCATTATGCTGCCTACCATGGAAGAGTTGATATTGTAAAATTGTTGGTGTCTCGAAATCCGACAATTCTTGCACATACCAATTATAAGGGTGAAAATGCTCTCCATGTTGCTGTCAAAAGGAAACAAAGCGATGTGATGACAGTCCTTGGAGATATGCTCGAAACTTTAGGGATTGAATTCTGCAATCAAGTAATGAGGCAGGCAAAAGATGAAAACGGGAATACTGTTGCGCAATTGATACTTACTTCTAAATCACAGGTATGTCCATTGGTGACTATGGTAAGAGTATTTTATACAAAGTACTTGCACATTATTAGCTATATACAAATTATTACTTTTATAAAATAATGTGATCACACCGTGTGGCCACACACAAGACTTGTCCGTTGTTTGTCGTAATATTAAATAGTTCCTCTGTTCTCTAAATAATTGTCCTATTATATCTTAACTTGAAAATCCTTGTAATTCACTTCATTCCACTCATATCATGTACTTTAGATCTTACTACTAAGAGTCTAAGAGCATCCTTACTTACTCATGAACGTATATATTTTAATTGTAAAGCATCATGCTAACCAGATGAACAAGTATGCATTCTACTCCGTATCATTGAACAAAATGAATGGTTCATACTGTTTAGGTGCCTTGATTTTCTTTACCTTTTTTTTAAAAAAAAGATCGATTCTTTTATAGTAGCTTAGATGTGTTCCTTGTGGAAATTGCTAATTAAGTTTTATTCCTTTTAATTATTGTAAAAATAAATAATATATAATGCGGTAAATAATTTATTGTTAATAGACTATAATCAAATATTGATTTTTAATGGAGAAGGGAGAATCATTTGAACTTAGAAATTGCAAAAATATGCATAATGGCAAAGTTCAGAAGTTTTGCTGTAGAAACTGTAAAACAGTTTTTTTAACTCGTAATTAAGAAAACTGTTTTTTTTTTTTCATTTTTTATTAAAAATTAAAGTCAATTGGATGAATGGACAAGATTGAACATTAAAAATATAAGGCCAAGATTAAAACTAATTACAATAACTACAATTTTATTGTGGCCATTGAACATGAGTGAGCCCCAATTTCTCTTCATGAGAAACACTTTTGTTTATCATAATGGCATTTTGGAAAATAATGTGATGTTTTTCACTGGTGGGGACCGTCTGTCAATTTTGGGTGGATCTCTCATATCTTGACACATATTCTATGAGAAACAAAACTTGTTAATCAATAGGGTAGTCTTCCATTACTACATTATAATACAGAGAACTACATTTTGTCCTAAATTCCTAATTGATTGAAATGTCATTAAATTCATATTAATGTTTACTTGTAAAATATTGTATGAAAATACATTAAAAAAAAATGTATTACAGAAAAAATACTCTTAGTAGTAAGATCTAGATCTATGATATGGATGGAATGATGTAGATCTTATTACTAAACAATTGCTTAGGGCACATTTTTTAATTAAAATTACTAATTAGAAATAAATAATCTCAACCGTCCATTTTAAAAAATTGTGCTAGTCAAAAGTAGACTACATTATAATCATCAACCTTCAATTAGGTTTTTGTTGGCCTCCATAGATAACGTACATACAATAATTGCAATACAAACTAATGTCCAAGTACCTGGAGTATTTGAAACGTATACTCAAAACAGTCGTGACGAAGGTGCCAGCACGGGCAACAATGAAATGAACATGGACCTATTTGTGAGGGAGGCCATGATTGTGATCGGGGTGCTTATAGCAACAGTGACGTTCCAAGCACTGATGAGTCCTCCCCAATCATTGTTAAAGGAAGGCATCGCGAATAGGAATTCATCTAGGGCTGCTGTATTATTCCTGTCTACCAACTCGGTAGGATTTTTGACTAGTTCACTCAGCATTATCTTCTACTCTATGAAGGAGAGTGTAATTATGCTCTATTTCTGGGTTGGAGCTTCCTTTCTTTGTACTGTTATAAGTTACATTTGTGTTTTGATGTCTACGATGAAGGATGATGAAGTATTTTTTACGGTCTTCCGCACATCAATCATAATGGCACTACCCAATCTGATAATTTCCCTGTATTTTTCTTCTCCCGAAGTAAAAAACTTTGTGAATAAAATAATAGAATGTTTAAAATCGTAAGGGGATTTTGAGCATCAACTTCCATCACTTCACCAGAAAACACCAACGCAAGAGACTACTTCAAGGCTGTAATCAACTGTAATATCAGTTTTATCGGATTCTATGTATTAAATTAGTGTGAATGTGTGACTTCTTTAATTAAGCTAGTATTATCATTTTTTAGCAGTTTCAAAAATAAAGCAAGTTTCCTCTGTAATAAGGGTCTTAAGTTTTTTAGTAGAGCCTTTATAATGTCCTGAACTCTATGAATCTTATTTATTTTGGATCGTCTCTAAAACATACTCTGTATAATAATAATATAGCTATGTGAGCTTATCTGCAAATGTGCAACAGAAAGTGTTCAAGCTTTATTAGCATTAAGCCAGAAAAGACGGAAGCTAATCCATGGTTATGTATACCCTTGTGTCTATCTCTTTAAGCAAATTAAGAAGCTGGAAAGCCTATGCAAGGCACCAACTAAAGACATTGCTGATATAGTTGAGGTTTTCGTTGATATCATACGTACAATTGAGAATTACTGGTAACGAGAGTTGTACAAACTGATATCCTGCTATGTTACTTCTATGAAAGTTTGTTTTCGTGCTGAGAGATGTTACAGTGTAAAATCTCAATATTAAATAAAATTTCAGTTTTTTTTGTTGGTTTTTCAATGTAGTCTTTTGCTTAATTGTCTATAATGAAGAACATAACATATCATTATTCAGATAATTTCTTTCTGAGATATAGCTGCTAACTGCTAAAATTACTGGCATTTTGTTCAGTAAATGACTCAGAGGTGATTAGCTATTTTTTGGGTGAATTAGATTGATGTTGGTTAGTTGGAGTTCTTTTAGGAATAAATGTGGCTGATCAACTTACAAGAAAGCAAGGAAATTATCTGGAAATTTATGCTCGTATATTCACTCAATGAAATTAATGTACAACTGTACAAATCACTATCCGTACTAATCTATCAATGTCTACTGTAAGTGTAACGACAGTAAGAGATCTAGAGAAGAGCAAAGCATGACCAGAATGATTAATTAATCAACTTCGACAAAAGAAGTGCAGTCAATATCTTGTAGAGTTATCTTACCCAAGTATAGATCACTAACATGATAAGCACATAGAGCAAAACACCTCCTGTCCAAACTGTCATGGATAGCAGCCATTCCTGGAACCTATTTCTTTTGGTCCCCTGGATTAATGTTTGTGCGATTTTGCAGTAGCAAAACTCGGTAAGTAATTGTATCATTACATTCACAAAAATGAGCAGCACATGTAATAGATGGCGCATCATATGCTAATCTGATGAGATTCAAGGTTAGAGCACTATCAACAGGTTTTGGATCTGAAAGATGGCCATCTCCTGTTCTTTTTACCTCCCTTTCAGAGGGAAGTTACATTTCCACTTTTCCATCCAAATCTGAAACTTTCAAATCCTTCGAAAAATGCCTAACGGTTTCAGCTTTTGTAGCATCATGTTTTACTGGTGTGATCTGTTAATTACAAATATTATAGTTAGGAAACACACACTGTTACAATGTATGTCAAAGGCCTACATAACTCTAATTCTTTACTATCCACACAATGTACAATGTTATATGAAGAAAAGAGAAAAAATTCCTGTGAGTAATTGAGCTAAACGAAAAAAATCTCTGTACAATTGTACATCAAGTGAAGGAAATTGTACGGCATCTTTTAAATGGCATTCTTGAGGCCAAGCTTCACATTATGGACTTTCACTGATAGTAGTTGTTTGTGATCCTCACTTTCCTTCAAAACTGAAAGCAAGTTGGCTCGATAAGCTTCACACTTTCGGTTAGCTGATTCTAGCTCCTCACTAAGTTCTCTGATTTTCTAGTCCATGCAGTCCTAAGTAAAAATTGCAGAGAATGAATTAGATAGTTGAGCAAGTTCTGATTGCTTCAAAAGTGTGCCTATTGCTTAATATGCATCAAATTTAAGTTCCCAGCACATTTAGTTGCATACAAAAAAGACAAAGACTAATAAAAATAGTGAAATAAAAGAAGTGTTGAACCAATTTACTTGTATACTACTTGGTATACTTTAATTTCAAATCCGGAAGCTGATTACTACGAGAGTTTGAAGGCGGAGTTGGATACGAAGTTGAACGCCGATGATAATGTTGAGTTAACTACTGAAGAAATGTTATGGGACACGCAATTATTAAATCTTTGCAATGACAAAATACAAAGAATGGATAGGCATTTTTGGTGTGGCTCTGTGGTCATTGTGTTAGAGAATGATTATCTACATTCCTTCAGTTATGCCTTGATTTATGGGATTATCTTATATTCTATTATTATGATTTATTCTCTCCTTTAATTATGCTATTGTATAATTATCTTTTCCTAACTTAACTCCTTCTAGGCTGTATATTAAGGTTGATGTACAACTTTATTCTTCAATGCAAAACATATTCGTTTTCTATATGGTATCAAATTAATCGATTCCTAAAAACCTTTATTCTTCATTATCTCCTCTTCCATGGCTACTCCAAACTCATCTCATCAGATTGCAAACAACAGTGATCCTTCCAAACCCTTCATTGTTCTCAATATCCTGAATGCTATAAAACTCACAGCCACTAATTACCTATCTTGGAAGATGCAGATTAAGGCTATCCTAGTTGGCCACGATCTTTTCCATATCGTTGATGACTCTTTTTCTCCTCCTTCCGCAACCATCACTCTCAATGACAAACATGTGCCAAACCATGAATTTTCCTTTTGGACTAGGCAGGACAAACTCATCTGTGGTTCTCTCGTTGGAACTCTATCCTCCGATCTCCTTCCTTTGGTGTCTCAAGCCAAAACCTCCAAACATTTGCAACCCCTAGCCGTGGCCATATCAAGCAGCTTAAAGACCAACTCTATAGAATCACCAAAGGAGACAAAACCATTATTGAGTTTGTTCAAGCCATCAAGGCTTGTGCTGATAAACTCGCTGCTTTAGGCAAGCCAGAGGATCACAAAGATCTCATTGATCGTGTTCTTGCTGGCCTTGATGAATCCTATAATTTTGTTATTGTGTCTGTTAATGCTAGGGACATACCCATCTCTTTTGAGGAATTACATGAAAAGCTTATCAATAAGGAATTGACCTTGCTTCGTAATCAATCCTCACCATCTCTTCCTGCTACTGCGTTTGATGTCTCAACTCGTAGCCAAAATCGAAACATTACTCGCTCTTCCTATTCAGGTATTCTTCCCACTCCTATAAATAATACAAAACAGCCACACCCTTTCCTAAGTAAGTGTCAATGGTGCCGCACTCAGGGCCATGTAGTCAGTCAGTGCTCCTTGTTCAAGCAACAATTTCCTAATGCTAATCCTCCTTCCTATTCTTCAAACACTCGTCCCCACAGCACACCCCAAGCAAACACTGCTAATCTTGCACAATCTGCCTCCTCCTTATCTTCTCCTTAGTTACTCGACAGTGGTGCTTCCCACCACGTCACCACCGACCTAAACAACCTCTCTCTCCATGCTCCATACGATGGCACTGAAAAGCTCATTGTAGGTGATGGTAAGGGCCTCAAAATCACTCACTTTGGTTCACTTTCTTTCTCCAATTCTATTGTTTTAAATAATGTCCTTGTCGTATCCGCAATGTCTAAAAACGTTATTTCTGTGTCTCAGATATGTAGGGATAACTGTTATGGGTCCAGCCCAATTAAAGTAAAATGTATCTTGTTTTGGTCCATTTACTTGGTCCATTTTTATTACATTTTACTAGCTTGAATTAAGTCCAATTTAGGGACTTTAGTTGTAGCTTCTTTTAGAAGCTTTAGATGGTAAATCTTGTGGTAAACAAGTGACCAAGTGAGGCAGCTAGTAGCTGAACATACACACACACAAAAATAGAGAGAGAGTTTGTGCCCTTTACAAGAACTTCCAACTTCGGAGTTTTCTGGGCAGCCTTCATAAAACTGGTTGTTTCCAAAGTTTTCACCGTTGGATCGTGCTCAAATTTTGGAAGCTTGTTCCTGACATCAAGAGCTTCATTTTGGACGGTTGGATCTTTGTTTTGAGCTCTGTTTTGGTCACAGTCGTCTCTGGACAGGACTGCTGTTTTTGGGTGAATTCTACCTTTTTTGCTCTCTAATTTTCAATCTCTTATTGTTTATTGTTGTTGGTGGGATGTGAATTGTTGTGAACTATATTGGGTTCATTTTACCTTCAATTTTATCATCAATAAGAGAATATTAAGGGTAGACTCCTCAAGAGGTCCCGTGGTTTTTATCCTTCACATCGAAGGGGTTTTCCACGTATAATTTGTGTGTGTTGCTTGCATCTTATTCCGCTTATTATTGATGCTTTGTGACTGAAATATTGTTGTCCATATTCCATATTCTTGTTGTGTGATATTTTGGGTTGATTGGTTTGGATATTTGATTGATTGTCTTGAGTTGGTGATTGTGTGAGTGTCGTAGTGACCTCTTCCGATCCCTACAATAACAATATTTCTATTCTCACAAAATTATTTCTCTGTTATAGATCTCACAACGGGGGAGTGCCTATTCCAGGGCCAATTAAAGTCCGGCATCTATGAATTATCTTCTCAACCTCCTAGATTCTACACAAGCACAACAACAAATTCTCTTCACTAGCATCATCGTTTTGGTCATCCATCCCAAAATGTTTTTCGTCAACTTATATCTAAAAATAATCTCAATGTTTCTAGTATTTCTACTCTAGATTGTAACTATTGATCGGATTGAGATGAAAATGTGCTAAATTCTTGCACATTTGCACTACTTATACAAGAAATTGGATAGGAAATTATATTAATTAATTAAGAACTTTGATTGGCTGATTATAGAGGTGATCCTATGATTGGGATTTGGGAAGAACTTGATTATGGTTTTAAGTTAGATGAGTTATACATTGATGGTTGGGGAAATGAAATCAGATATGGGTGATTTAAGGGAGTTGTTTATTTGTGGAGGTAAAATGGTAGAAGCAATTCCATGGTTTGATGGTGATGTTGATGTTGTAGATTGGGGAAGATGGGGTGGGTTTTTAATTCTCTATGTGACAAACTAAACGTCCTTTTTTATCAAGTGTTAGTTGAGACGAACACTACAAGACGGGAGGTGAATTGTATGTGAGTTTCTACTGACTACTTTTTGTGAAATAAAAACAGAATATAAAGGAACTTAGCAAGCACACAAGATTTTACGAGAAAACCTTCCACGGCCCAACAGGAAGTAAAACCTTGACCCTCGAAGGGATTTCAAATACCAAATCAATCCAATAATAGGGAAAACTCTCCTAGTTACAACCTATTATAATCAGACCTTTACTCACAAGTTCTTGACTGAACTTGCTACTCGATAAGACCCTATCCTACCCAACCTAAGTCCCTGACTTAGATTCACACGGCACTCCCTGAATGCTCACTCTCAGCTTCAACCTTGAAGCCTACAATCTGTATGGACTAAGCTAAACTCTCAATTGATTGAAATGTCATTAAATTCATATTAATGTTAACTTGGTAAATATTGTATGAAAATTCATAAAAAAAAAAAAAAGGTATTACAGAATAATACTCTTAGTAGTAAGATCTACATCTATGATATGGATGGAATGATGTAGATCTTACTACTAAACAATTGCTTAGGGCCTGTT